CTTCCGATTTTTGTTTGGTTTAATGTTACCATTAATTTCTCATATACATGTCCAGGGAAATTTAAAATTGGTTTGAATTAAACCGGCATCTTTCATATGTTCTAGATAGGGATGTCAAATAAGCCCGAAACCTGAAACTCGATTTGTGTTCGTCCGAAAAGAATAAGGGTTCGGACCTAAAAAAATATAGAGATCTGGCCGAACAGGTTTCGTGTCTGTCGGGCCGGGAACTTTTTTTTCCCTAAAATTGTTCTCACCATCTGTTTTTCACCGCGTCTTTATTTTCATTCAATATAAATTTGATTAAATTATCTATTCAAATACCTATTACTAATTGTTACCTAAATTTTCTAACAATGTTTTTTTTTTACAAATCCTGTATTTGTATAAAATTTCTCCTAAAAATAATTAACGAGATATCCACTTGATACTTTTCCCCCGTCGGCAAACTTTGCCCTATATCTATCGATGCCTTTTTTTCTTTTTCGAATAATACCTATTACTATTGTTATCTCTTTTTGGAAATATTTCTATTTCTATTTCTCTTTTGAATATTATTATTGTATATATATATATATTAAATTTGGAAGTGGTTGCAAAAATGGAAGGACGTACCGGCTGATATATATTATATAATTTGTCAAAGTAGAAGATAATATGGAGAGTTCACGGCAGTTCAAGTGTACGATTTTTTTATTAATTAAAGCGTTGTTAATCAATGGATATTTTTTTGTAACGAGCCGTCTGAAATTTGAATTAAAAAAATAATGCACGTAGTTTCCTAATGTTTTTTTTAATAAAAAAATCGTTAATTCTTCAGGACCCGATTTGGTAAATAAAATAATGTAAGGAGTAAGGACCACTTGTTGTTCACATCTATCATATATACTTCCGGAATCTAATAGCGTTCACAGTTTTAGCTGTCAAGTCATCATCATGAATTTGAAAAACAATTTGAAGAAATAGACAAACCCAAAAAAAAAAAAATCTCCTCCCTTATCACGAGTTTCAATTATTTCGCCGCTTTATTTCAGAGAAAAATCAAAATTATTGTCTCACATATGACCATTTTGGATTTTGATTAGGTTATATTTGGATTCAACTATTTTGAATTATAATCATTCGATTTTTATATAAGTTTTAGTTCCGTTCGATTATTTTTCGATTTAGTTCGGTTCGGATTTGAATTTTTTATGGTAAAAACTCATTTTTCAAAAAAAATATCGATTTTTTCGGTTATTTTTTTTTAATATGTTCGATTTCGATATTTTCGGATTTAAAAAAATTATAACCATTCATTTTTTTTATACCACATTCGATTCGGTTACGGTTATATCTTATCGGATGGCTATTATGTAATAATCAAGATGGCTACCCTTGTCTCTACGTTTTTGGAGTGTGGAGGAGGGAAAAAAAGAGACAAAAATGGAGGAGAAAAGGCGTCTTTCTAAAGGAAGCAAGCTGAAAAGAGCAACCGCCCACGTGAGTTCTTAGAAACCCTGTTCTCCTTGTTCTTGCTCGACATTAGCTTGGATTCTCTCTCCTTTCCATGGTCCTTTTTCTCAGGTAATTTTTGTTATATTTTATTGGATTTTCCCTTTTGTTTTCTGTAATTTTCTTTTCCTCTCCATTTCCTTTTTCTTTTTTCTTTTTCCTGAGAATTTTGCCTCCAACGCTTTCCAGAACAGTTCACTTTGGTTGGGGCTTAAGCTGAATTCATCAAAGAATCTGATTCTGTTCCTTTCTTCAATTCTCTCTCTCCCCCTTGATATTTTGTTCTTCAACCGAAGAAAAACAAAACATCATGTTTTGTTTCATCTCCCCGTTTTTTTTTGTTCTTTTCATTTCACTTGCAATCACCAAAATGAAGATGAGGAGTTATGGTTTCAGACATGCTCAACCTAGTACTCTGTGTATTTCTTCTCATCAGTTTTCCCGTTGTTGAATTGCCCTCAGTGTTCAGGCAGGGAACCTTTTTTCTCACGGGTCGTTATAAATCTCCTGAATTTTCTGGAAATTCTTTACATTTCCTGGGTTCAATCTCTTAATCTTCATTCTTACGTGGTTCTGTCCTTTCATTGTTCTTGCCCAGATGGCGTAGGTGAAGAATCGGAGTTTCGAATCCAGAGATGAAGCAGCAACTAGGGTTATTGTTCTTGTCTTGGCTTTGTTTTGCGGTCTTAGGAAAAGGGTATTCTCGGAACGTGTCCGTTAGACCCGCCGCTGTGAAAATTGGGTCCATATTCAGTTTCGATTCAGTCATTGGAAAAGTTGCTAAGATCGCCATTGATGAGGCTGTGAAGGACGTGAACTCAAATCCCGACATTCTTGACGGAACACAGTTTGATGTCTCAATGCATAATTCCAACTGCAGCGGCTTCTTGGGCATGGTTGAAGGTAATGTAATACAATACTCGCAATCTGATTCTTTCTGCTTAGATGGGTTTTGTTGAATCATATTACAGAGTTGTTCATGGGGTTTGATCCATAGAAACAGGAAACTTGTTGCTATAACGGAAATGCTGTACTGATTGATCGAGTTTCTCGCTTTCCCGGTAACGACAAAGGCGTTAACTCTCGACGGTTTTTGATCGTTGCAGCGTTGCGGTTAATGGAGAAGGACATTGTCGCCATTGTCGGGCCTCAATGCTCTGTAGTTGCCCACATGATAGGCTATGTGGCTAACGAACTCCACGTTCCTCTTCTCTCGTTTGGGGTCACAGACCCGGTAATGTCCCCTCTCCAGTTTCCGTATTTTGTCAGAACGGCTCAGAGCGATTCATACCAGATGGAGGCTGTTGCATCAGTGGTGGATTACTACGGTTGGAAAGAAGTGATTGCTGTTTTTGTGGATGATGATTATGGAAGGAATGGTGTGGCTGCACTTAATGACAGACTTGCAGCCAGGAGATGCAGAATCACTCACAAGGCTGGTATTCATCCGGACTCCGTCGTGAACAACACCGAGGTCATGAACGTTCTCATCGGCGTTATGTCGGTCCAGTCGAGAATCGTTGTCATCCATGTGTATACGGAGTTAGGGTTTTCGATCTTCAAGAACGCGAAATATCTCGGGATGATGGGAAACGGGTATGTGTGGATTGCCACGGACTGGCTCTCTAATGTTCTGGACACTTTCTCTCCGCTCCCTCCGGACAGAATGGATGCGATACAAGGAGTTCTTGTTCTGCGTCAGCACACGCCCGATTCGGATGCGAAACGGGCCTTCTACTCGAGGTGGGGAAAGATTTCTGGCGGCTCGGTGGCTCTAAACGTGTATGGGCTCTATGCGTATGATTCGGTTATGATTCTTGCTCGGGCTCTGGATACTTTCTTCAAATGCGGCGGGAAAATATCGTTTTCTATTGATTCCACGCTGAATGCTCTTGGAAAGAATGGTGAGCTCAATCTAGAAGCTATGACCATCTTCAACGGGGGAGAAGCTCTGTTAAACAACATTCTAGCAACCCGTATGGTCGGTTTAACGGGCCAGCTCGAGTTCACTCCCGATAGATCTCGAATCCATCCAGCTTACGATATCATCAACGTGGCCGGGAGTGGGGTTCGTCTAGTAGGATATTGGTCAAATCATTCAGGTTTATCGGTCCAACCACCCGATTCACCACTCCACACGAAGCTGCAAAACACTTCTAGCTCTGGCCAGAAGCTAAGGGATGTGATTTGGCCGGGAGAAACGTTTTCGAAGCCTCGTGGTTGGGTGTTTCCTAACAACGGGATAGAACTAAAGATCGGTGTGCCTATTCGAGCGAGCTACAAGGAATATGTGTCAAAGATACGAGGAACTGACAATTTGTTCAAAGGGTTCTGCATTGACGTTTTCACGGCAGCGGTGAACCTCTTACCTTATGCAGTCCCGTACAAGTTTGTTCCTTTCGGAAACGGGAAGGAGAACCCGAGCTACACGGAAATGGTGGAAATGATCACAACTGGTGTAAGTCCCTATAAACATCACTTCTGAATTTCGTTCTCATTTCTTTAGATTCATCCAAGAAATCGATGTTAGGGGTGGGAACATGGGTCGGGTACCTGGCCTTGGTCTCATCCCGACAGGTTTCATGACAACACTATTTCAACCTCGTTCTGGCGAGATTCGTGTACCTGCGGTTGAAGGTCGGGTACCCGAACCCAAAATTTTGTTTTTCGAAGTTAACTTTTCAAAGGGTACAATGTTAATTTTACATGAAAATCGGTTATTTTACAACAATAACATTGCCTTTTATCCTTCCCAAGTTGTTTTTGGAGTATACTGCATGAATTCTTCGTTTTCTCTCGTTTCCATTTTGGTTTAAATCCCCCGAGAAAATCTATTATTGTAAATAGATTAAAATATCAATGATATAAACGTCATTTTACTTGTATTTGGGTACCATGGTCCGGGTTCTTCGACTCGTCGCACCCGTGGCAACTCGCGAGTCTTGGGTTTAAATGGCCACCCCTAATTGAAGTGGTAAATGGTGCAGGTATTTGATGGGGTTGTGGGCGATGTGGCGATTGTGACAAACAGGACGAAGATTGTGGATTTTACTCAGCCTTATGCGGCATCTGGACTGGTTGTGGTGGCTCCCTTTAAGAAACTGAATTCAGGGGCATGGGCTTTTCTCCGACCGTTCAATCCGCTCATGTGGGCAGTCACTTCCTGCTGCTTTCTCTTCGTCGGGTTCGTCGTTTGGATCTTGGAGCATAGGTTCAACGACGAATTCCGAGGCCCTCCGAAGAGGCAATGCGTCACTATTCTCTGGTGAGTTGGCTCTTCCTCATGGCCATTGTTGTTTCATCATGTCAAGCTGGAGAGATCACAGATCTTTCTCGTTTACGGATACTGCGAAAATTTACGTTTTCCGGGCTAAATTCTGCTTCTGACCCGTATATCGTTCTCCCGATACATGCAGGTTTAGCTTCTCAACCATGTTTTTCGCTCATAGTACGTAAATAAACGAACTTGTCATCTCCTTACCCGCTACTACTACTAGTGAAGAAGTCTGACATTAGCTTTTTCCCGTCCGTTTTTTCGGGGTTTTTCCTTCTTGCAGGAGAGAACACAGTCAGTACACTTGGCCGTATGGTTCTAATCATATGGCTATTCGTAGTGCTCATAATCAACTCCAGCTACACTGCGAGTCTAACATCGATCCTCACCGTTCAGCAACTTTCTTCGCGGATCAAAGGGATCGAAACCCTAGTAAGAAGCAACGATCGGATCGGGTACCAGGTTGGATCGTTTGCCGAGCATTATCTGAGGGCTGAACTGAACATATCGGAGTCGAGGCTCGTCCCTCTTGGATCACCTGAGGCTCCAGCTACACTGCTAGTCTAACAGCGATCCTCACGGTTCAGCAACTTTCTTCGCGGATCAAAGGGATCGAAACCCTAGTAAGAAGCAACGATCGGATCGGGTACCAGGTTGGATCGTTTGCCGAGCATTATCTGAGGGCTGAACTGAACATATCGGAGTCGAGGCTCGTCCCTCTTGGATCACCTGAGGCTTACGCTAAGGCATTAAAAGACGGGCCTCGTAAAGGAGGTGTCGCTGCTATTGTGGACGAACGTCCCTACGTCGAACTCTTCCTCTCTAGCAACTGTGCTTATAGAATCGTCGGTCAAGAGTTCACCAAGAGTGGATGGGGATTCGTAAGTTCATTTTCCACTCCAAACATTACTACTTGGGTCGGGCGTGAGTATCCGAATCCGCGGGATTTGCGAATATCCGAGCCACGGTGAGTATGAGGTTTGAGGCATGGATTCGGGTTCGGGTTTCGTCTGTCGAATACCCGTATTTGGGAGATCCGTGGGTATATGAACCATGACAAGTACGAGGTCGGGTTGCATGGCGTCCGGAAACCCGAGCCACGGGTTCGAGTCTGGGTATTGTTGGCCGATTACCCATACCCGCGGATAACCCGAGCCGAGAAGGAGAGGGGAGAGAGGGCAAGTCAATGAGGATTGAGGAGTGTGACGCCGCAGTGAGAGGGCGAGAAGTCTGATTTCGAGGGGCGAGGAGGTGGCGAGAGGTCGTTAGAGTTTCTCTTTCGAGATTCCGTTCGGGTATTTGAGTCCGACTTTTTAGAGAGAAAAAAAAAACAAATTAGTATTTTGAGTCGAGAGACCGAGGGCGATTTCGCTATTTCGATTCGCCCTCGCCTCGCCGCCCGCCCCTCGGACCAGGTAAGTCTCTCCTTGACTTTTATCGCCTCACCTCTCTGTCTCGCCTCGACTCTCACCGCTTCACCCTCTAATCCCTCTGGCCTACAGTCTTTCCCCTCGTCGGCCGCCTCAATCCTCAACTTCCCGCTCGCCGGTCGGGTACCCGAATGGTTGCAGTACCAAAACTCGGGTACCCGAAAGGTCGATACTTTTTGTTGTTGTGCTCATTGTTTTCTTCTCTATTGGTTTTTTAGGCATTTCCTAGAGACTCTCCACTTGCAGTGGATCTATCAACAGCGATCTTGGAGCTGGCAGAGAATGGCGATCTCCAGAGAATCCACGACAAGTGGCTGATGAAAAACGCATGCACTCTGGACAATGCAGAGCTCGAATCCGACAGGCTTCATCTCAAGAGCTTCTGGGGTTTGTTCCTCATCTGTGGCATCGCCTGTCTTCTTGCCCTCCTCATCTACTTCGCCTCCATTCTCAGACAGCTCTACAGAGCAAACCCTAGCGGCGACGCCATCTCCAAAGATGGGAGCAGTAACGGCTCGTTGTCTCGATCTAACCACCTGCAGAGATTCTGGTCTCTCATGGACGAGAAGGAGGACTTGTCCAAGCGTGGAAACAAGAAGAGAAAGATTGATGGACCCGAAAATGGCGCCGTCGGATCGAAACGGATGGATTTCACCGGAGGAAGAAGCTTCGACTCGAAGATTGAAGAATGTGAAGAGGAAGTTGGATCTAGACGGATGGATTTCATAAGCAGAGAAAGAAGTTTCAATTCCATCAGCCCTTTGGATTGAACGTGTATCTACGCGTATTAGCGTATTATACATTGAATACGATATGCCAAATTTAGACAGGAAACAAGTCTCTTGTACGTTCATCGAAGTACAGAACAAACGATGACAGATCTTACATGTTTAAACACAAAGATTAGTAAAACAAAAAAAAATGTTTTAAAATATATATATTATGGTAAAACTGGCATGACCCACGTTTCTAAATCGCCGGATAAATAAATAAAGATCCACAAAAAAAAATGATAAAACGGTGAATCATGTGGGTCATGCATGATGATGATGCATGAAACACATGATGGACAAAAATGTGTACAGGCTTTTCACTTCTTGGACTTTTGGTCGCCGGAATCGATGGCGGATGGAGGAGCGCCGCCGGAGGGCGTTGGAGCGTCGGTGCCGCCGGCGCCGCGGCCGGGCTTCACCTCTTGGTGGCCGGAGGTTCCGTACGCATTGTTCTTGTAATCTTCCAGATCTTCGTACTTCGTGTACGGACTGCTCTCCAGTGGCAACTCTTCCCCTGTCGTGGCTTTCTTCTCGTCTCTGTTCGACATTTTCAATTTCTCGTTTGTATTATTTGTTTTTTTTATTATTATTGTCTGCGAGAACAGAGTAGAAGTACTTATGGAAGAAGCAGACAAATTGTGTCCAAAGAAGTTGCACGAATTTGGGCAAAGAACAAGGTGGGATCTTTGACTCTCTCTATTTTTCCATTCTCCATAACTTTAGCTGAAAATTATTATTGATTTACTATTTTCACACACAAGTTTTATTTTTTTTATAAACCAAAACATGTATTAATTTGATCAACGTCCAAAATATAAATGAGTATTTGGGTTTTGATTTTGAATTATATTTTATTTTCATTTTTAATTTATAGATATTATCTTCTTTCAGTTTTATATTGTTTTTTACTAGTTTTTAAAAATATTTTAATTCAGTTTGTTTAAATATTTTTATATTTGACTTGAGAGATTAGTTAATTGGTTTTATAAAAATTATTTACGAGTATATAATATTTATTTCGGTTGGATTTGATTTAATATAAAAAAGTTTACTCCACTAAGACACCTGCCCGCCATTAAAAATTTCAAATCCCAAGAAAATCTTTGACTATCGGTAAATTTACATTTTATTTTCTTGAACGGAGAGATTAAAATTAAATTTTGATTTGATGGGAAAATATGTACAGTTGTCATCGGTGCCATGTCTGCCGACGTGTCAAATTCTGTGTCAAACATATGCAACACGCATATTAATGATGTAATAGCGAAATGATATCTAATCAGATCTCGACTTTCAAGTCTACCTGTGAATCCGGTTAACCAATTTAAAACCGGTTCAAACCGAACATGTCTCAGACCGGTTAACAGATGACCTAACCGCTGACAATAGATTTATTCGGGGACCAGTTCTCGTCTCTTTCAGACAGATATCGCCGCTACGTTCTCTCCGAATCTATCGAGTTACAAAAAGAATTTCGGCATTTAATATTCAATCTCCTTATCTCCTTCCAATAACAAAAAACAGAACCCGTTATCTTTTTTGTTCTGTTTTTTTTTTGCCGGAAAAATGGCCGGGGAATATTCCGGGAGTCGGAGCTCCAATACGCAGCGTCTGGCTGAGCTCGAGGTTCTGAGCCAACCCATTTACGAGAAGCCTCAGTTTCCCGCCGGAGGAAGCCGGAGAACGGCCTCACTCGCTCTCCCACGCACCTCCGTCCCCTCCGTCATCTCGTCGGGAGATGACGTCAGCGCAGCACAAGCCGACAGCCTCGCCGTCTCACGGCCTCGGTCGCGGCGTCTCTCGCTGTCTCCGTGGCGGTCGAGGTCGAAACTCGGCGAGGACGAACCGGAGAGAGAAGCGAAGGTCACGAGATCGAGTCTGGTTCAGAGCAAGAGCATCAAGAAAACAGAGGAGTCGGCGAAGGAGGAGAGGAAAGGGATATGGAATTGGAAGCCGATTCGCGGGTTGTATCGAATCGCGATGCAGAAGCTGAGCTGTCTGTTCTCCGTCGAGGTTGTCGCCGCACAGAATCTCCCGCCGTCAATGAACGGTCTCCGGCTGGGAGTTTGCGTGAGGAAGAAGGAAACCAAAGACGGTGCCGTTCAGACAATGCCGTGTAGGGTTTCTCAGGGAATGGCGGATTTCGAGGAAACTCTGTTCATCAAGTGCCACGTGTACTACTCGCCGGCGAACGCGAAAGGTCCGGCAAGGTTCGAGGCTCGTCCCTTCATGGTTTACCTCTTTGCCGTCGACGCGAAGGAGCTCCAGTTCGGGAGAAATGTAGTGGATTTGAGTGAGCTGATTCAGGAATCTGTGGAGAAGATGAACTATGAAGGAGCTAGGGTTCGTCAGTGGGATATGAGCTTGGATTTGTCTGGTAAGGCCAAAGGAGGTGAACTGGTTCTGAAACTAGGAATTCAGATCATGGAGAAAGACGGAGGGGTCGGGATTTACGGTAAACCGGGTGATTTGGGGACGAAATCGAGTAAAAAACCGAGGGCTTTCTCGGGTTCCTTCGGGCGCAAGCAATCAAGGACATCGTTCAGCGTCCCGAGCCCTAAGTTAACGAGCAGGAGCGAGGCTTGGACGCCGGCTGTAGGGATCGATCCGGTATCGGATATTCAAGGCATCGAGGATCTGAATTTGGATGAACCGGAGGTTCAGGAAAAAACAGGGGAATCGGAACAGAGAGCTGAAGATGATCTGCCCGATTTCGAGGTTGTGGATAAAGGAGTCGAGTTTGATGACGACAAAGAAACTGAAAATTCCGATGGAACGGTCGGAGAAAGATCGGTTGAGATCAAGGAAATGGTGAACGATCCAACTCACATGCTGAGATTAACCGAGCTGGACTCGATCTCGAAACAAATCAAAGCACTCGAGTCGATGATGAAAGACGAGCGAAACAGAGGAGACGAAGAAGAGTCTGAAACAGAGTTACAGAGGCTTGATGAAGAGGAAGAGACGGTGACGAGAGAGTTCCTTCAGTTACTTGAGGACGAAGAAACCGATGAACTCAAACCCTATCATCACGAAATGGGGATTTCTGAGCTTAGAGCTGGCGAATCTGCAGACTCGGAATCCGAAAACTACCTCATGGATCTCGGAAAAGGCATCGGTTGCATGGTTCAGACGAGAGATGGAGGATATTTAGTCGTATGAACCCCTTCGACACCATTGTCTCAAGGAAGGACACTCCGAAACTCGTTATGCAGATCTCGAAACCAGTTGCGGTACTGTCAGAACATTCATTACTTGACCTACACGGAATTGAAACTGAAGCTGAAACCGAAACCATCTTACAGGTTCTGCTCGAACCAGAAACTGGATTCGAGCTATTCCACAAGATTGCGGGTTTTGGGAAGGAGCTAAATTCGCTGATAACATCGGTAATGCCGATGGATGAACTGACGGGCAAGACTGCAGAGCACGTAGCCTTCGAAGGAATCGCATCAGCGATCATACAAGGACGAAACAAGGAGCGAGCAGACGCCACGGCGGCAAGGGCTGTGGCCGCAGTGAAAACGATGGCTAATGCGATGAGCAACGGAAGAAGAGAGCGAATCTTGACCGGAATCTGGAATCTTGACGAGATTCCGTTGACCGCTGAAGACGTTTTAGCTGTCTCGTTGCAGAAACTGGAAGAAATGGCGATCGAAGGGCTGAGAATTCAAGCCGATATGGAAGAGGAAGATCCTCCGTTCGAGATTTCGGCGGCCAAAGCGCACGACATTCCGCTGAGATCGGCAATTCCGCTCGACGAGTGGGTCAATAACAGGTCCAGAGACAAGCAGAGACTGACGCTAACGGCGACGGTTCAGCTCCGGGATCCGGTGAGGAGATACGAGGTTGTCGGAGGGCCAGTGGTCGGGGTGGTTCAGGCTGAGGTGGCGGCCGAGGAGGAGAGGTATAAGGTGGGGAGCGTTCATGAGGGAGCGGTGAAGCCGCCGTCGGAGGTGGCGGAGCGGCGGAGGTTGACGGCTGCGCAGTGGCTGGTGGCGTACGGAATGGGGAAGAAGAAAGGGAAAAAAGAGAGCGTAAAGAAGGAGTTGATGTGGAGCTTGTCGTCTAGGGTTATGGCGGATATGTGGCTTAAGACTATCAGAAACCCTGATGTGAGATTGCACAGCTGAAACGGAGAGGGAGATACACATATACATACACACATACATATATATACAGGCAAGTGTATCTGTATGTGTAGATGAGGGGCTCATTTTCAATGGGTTGTGCTTGTGCTTCTACGGTAGATATTGTTATTTTGGTGCATTGATTGTTTGTGATGATTATTGCCGCAAATAAGAAGAAAAATAAAAGAAAAATGAATAGGATATTAATTTATATATGCATAAACATATGTGTGTATATCGGCGGTAACCTATGAAGAAGATTGGTAACACAGGGAAATTAATAAAAGATATTATTAGTAGGATGAATTTTTTTAATAAATAAATACTTCCAGATGGACTGCTTACATATTTTAATAATTAAATAAAATTTATACACAATTTATTCCGAATACCTTTTGAAAAATGGGATACCCAAATTAGGTTAGAACCTATTTGTTTGAATGAATAAACATAATTGAATTTTTGGGGTGAATAAGAACATATTCATGTATCGTATTGTTCTTGATCATACCTGACGGGACGGCGATCGCCTAGTGCAACCGGAGAGCATTGTGGTCGTCCAAACCGAAAACGGCATGAAGTTCACAGAAATTATTTATCGTCTTCAACTCTATACGTCACCGTTTTACCCTGTGAATTTTTCCTTCCGGTATCATCACTGCTTACGGAAGCCGTGGCTGTTGCTATGTGTCGCTTTCTGGTTGCTCACTCCCCAGAAGAAAATATCAAACTATCAGCCAATAATATTATGACACGTGTGATGACAATCTGCCAATAATATGTTGACACGTTTCATAACCTAATCCCATAAGAATCATCCCAGCGCCGATGGTCTCCCGTATCTTCCAACAATAATGGATCGTTTCATCTTCTCTCTCTCCCTCTCTCTCTCCCTCTCTCTCACGTCTTATCCAATCGTATCTGTCGCCAGCCCCGGCGAGATTGACGCCGGATTCGATAATCCGATAAGGCAAGTGGTACCGGAGGACCATCTCCTCCACGCAGAGCACCATTTCTCTCTCTTCAAGTCCAAGTACAGTAAGTCCTACGCGACTCAGGAGGAGCATGACTACCGATTCCGAATCTTCAAGGCGAATCTCCGCCGATCCAGACGTCACCAGGTTCTTGATCCCTCCGCCGTCCATGGCGTCACCAAATTCTCCGATCTCACTCCTAAGGAGTTCCGCCGCCAGTTCCTCGGTCTGAAACGGCGGCTCCGTCTTCCGGCTGATGCTCAACAGGCGCAGATTCTCCCCACGAACGACCTTCCGACTGAATTCGATTGGCGCGATCACGGTGCTGTAGCCCCTGTTAAAGACCAGGTATGGAAATTTTCTGGATCCAAACCTATTCGTCAGTAACATGTGGATTTCTTGATCTGTCTCTCTGTCTTGAGAGAACGTCTGTGACTCAGTTTTTAGTCGATGTATGTTTCTCTTCCATTGATTGTGGATCATTGAGACTAAGTAGTGAATTTTATTTGTGGAAGGGCTCTTGTGGATCGTGTTGGTCATTCAGCGCGACGGGTGCGTTGGAGGGAGCTCATTTTCTTTCGACTGGAAATCTTGTCAGCTTGAGCGAGCAGCAACTGGTCGATTGCGACCACGAGGTTCTGATTATTTCGTTTTACCTCTTATTGTTTGAATGAATAAGCTAAGATTGATGGTTAGAGTGTTGTAGCGTTTGATGTTTCTTCAAATTTTGGGCTTAAAAGATAACCTAGAACAAAGACTTAATCCAGCGCATCTGCACGTTCGGACTAGCCTTTAAAGTTGGACCCTTGTTGACATGGTTCACCACTATGGATGGAGTACGAAATAGAAATGAACCAACACCGGTCCTATGGATCACCCACTTGACAAGTTTAGGATGGTAATTGGTTGTGACAAGAATCGGCCTATTGGCAATCTTATAGAGCCATCTATGGATGATTCTTACTGTGGAAACTGTCTCATTCGCAGTGTGATCCTGAAGAACGTGGGTCATGTGACTCTGGTTGCAATGGTGGGTTGATGAACAATGCATTCGAGTACGCACTCAAAGCCGGCGGCCTTATGAAGGAGGAAGATTACCCGTACACAGGACGTGATGGTAAAGTTTGCAAATTCGACAAGAGCAAGATCGCTGCAAGGGTTGCTAATTTCAGTGTTGTCTCATCGGATGAAGACCAAATTGCTGCAAATCTAGTGAAGCACGGTCCTCTCGCAAGTAAGTTGAAGCTATCTCAACTAAAATCCCACTATTTCTCGTAAATCTTTTATTCCTGATTAATACTCGTCTGACAAAAATTTGCTTCTTTTGAGCAGTTGCTATCAATGCCATGTGGATGCAAACTTACATCGGAGGGGTTTCATGCCCATACATATGTTCAAAGCGTCAGGACCACGGAGTGCTTCTGGTCGGATATGGATCTGCAGGTTATTCTCCGATCCGCCTCAAGGAAAAGCCTTATTGGATCATAAAGAACTCGTGGGGAGCCAACTGGGGAGAGGAGGGGTACTACAAGATCTGCCATGGCCGCAATCTCTGTGGTATGGATACAATGGTCTCTTCCGTTGCTGCCGTCCATACCTCAACTCAGTGAATGGTTATAGGGTTAACTACAGAACTGAGTCTAGACTCGTTGGGGTATTTGCTTCGTGTGTATATAAAACATAAAACCAGGATTTGAAACTGTTCGTTCCCTAGTATTGTTGCAGGAGAAGGTGTCAAATTCCCTGCTTTCTGTTAGTGTAAGAACAGAAAACACGGTTTGCTGTAGTGAAATGCTATATGGATGAATAAATATGAACTGCATCTGATACACCACAGGAAATGGACTGACATCTATGCAGGCCTTGATGTCGCTGAATCCTGGTGAAACCGTATACGATTTTGTAAGTATGTGGGATCTTTAGAACTCGAATGTTTTTAAGAAAAACCGATTTTTTTAGAATTGAACCGATTTTTACAAAAAAAAAAGCCAAAAAATCGTTTTGTTTTAAAAGAATCTAAATTTTTCTTAATAAAAATCGATCTGAATATAAAATAATAATCGATTGGTATATATATATATATATAGAGAAATGAAAGAATCGAACTAAATCATTCTGGAACCGAATCCAAAACTCACATCTCCAAATGTAGGAACGTGTGGACTTTCGTTTATTAGGAGTGGATAGTTCGAATTTCATTTTGATTATTTTTTGCTTTTTGCAAAATTATATTTATTCCATTTTTTATATTAAATTTGGAATAGATTTGATTTTTATACTAGTCTGAATTTATATTGTTTTGATGGAATCTGCGATCCATGAGCGGAAAACCGTGGTTTCAATAGATGTACTAAGACAAATCATTTTCAAAATGTTTAGATATTAATATTGAAACTTGCCCAGATGATATTTAGATTATACAAAATATAAAAAAAATAAGTAGATATTAAAATAGATGATTAGGAAATAGTTTGGAAATTAAAATACTTTTTAGAAAGAAACACATATTTCTAAAAAAGATATTTTTAATTATTTATCTAGTATTCGTTTTTCATTATTGGTGAATTTTTAACCCTCAAAAGACTAGTAAACAGTTATACCACTTGTCTACGTATACCCAATTTTATCGAATATAGATTTTAGTATTCACCAAATATTCAGTAGTTTAATTATATTTTATTTCAATAATTTTGACTAGTTTTATGAAAACTCGAACCACGTTTGTAAGTCTATGGCAACATGTTTATAACTTCAAAGCCATGACGAGTAGGCACGTCGACAAGACATTTACTTCGGCGGAAGACAACGTTAACCTCTCCAAAAAAAATAAAATAAAATGTTTCTTTTGTCACAAAATATATTATTTACCCTAAAAAAATTTATGTCATCATTAAAAAAAAAAGGAAATTACCCATCAGATTCAGCTCCCATAGGCTACACAAATCTATGGGCCAATATGAAAGCTCCGCGTTCTATTATTCGGTAGTTCTTTCGGGCTTTGGTAATATTTTGATCTAGTTATTTTTTGTTTTGATTTTTATTTTTATGAAAAATCATCTAAAAAGTTCACGAATATTGATCCAAGAAGAACGGGGTTTATAGCCCGTACATGGTAACATGAGACGTGATAAAACATATCAAACAAAATGTTTTATTTTAGAGAAAATCTCATATATATACATATCCAAACTCTTTAATTAAAATGCGACATATAAATACTTAAATAATTAATTTGACAATTTAATACCTCAACTATTATATTATTCCAATTTAGTACCCAAATTCCTACAATTATTGCCAGTGTATAATTTTGAGTCTAACACCGTTTATTATCACGTTTTCGTTAAATTTTTGCTGAGTTGGATGACACATCACTAATCTTTCTCCACATAGAATTTACATGTTAAAGACCCAAATCACAAAATTAGGATTCATTATCTTTTGTGAATTGACAATATTTTAGGAGTTTGGATACTAAATTAAACAATATAATAGTTGAGGTACTAAATTATCAAATTAATTGTTCAGTTATTTATATATCATATTTTAAAGAGTTTGGGTAAGGAAATTTCTGACATCCAATTTAAAAAATGCATTACCATTTTAAAAAAATCTTATTTTATCTGAGAAAACATTTTAGTATAATTTTAGAATTCATTATATTTTCTTTTCTGAAATTTTACATTTTCATAAATTTAAATGAAAAATTTATATACAGATTAAAGTGCAAAATGATGCAAAAGTAAGGGATATTGCAGATTTTTATGCAATTATATAATAAATAAATATGATTTCATTTAGAGAGAAAATTATTTTTTTTGTGTTGTGGAAGAATGATAACCTTTTTATTCAAGAAATGATTATGAAACATCAGTTAGAAAAGATTTTGATTTAAATTATTTATTAGGTTTTATTACAGAGAAACAATCAATATCTCCCATTATAGAAATATATCACATATACATATACACATACGTAACTATATATATGTATGCTATCTTTTATATTTAGTTGTATGTAATATGTATAGTTGTATACCACACCGAATTAATTAAATCTCCCGTTTTAATCGACTTGGGAAACGGCCACCGAACCATCGTGGTCCACGTCGCCGTTAATAAACGCTGAGATCCGTACGAGTTAACGGAGTTCCGTGAAAAATTAACGGAAAGCAAGCAAAGAATCACCCTATTGTTCCCATCCGAGACCAAAGCTTTTAAACTAAGCAGTGTCATGTGATTAACCACTCCATGGATGTCTGTTCCCACTTTACATAAAAGGAAACTCCATCGCCAAGTTTTCATGAACTTCTGAACTTACCATTCACGGATTCGGAAACCCCTTTCTATTTTTAGTAACTCTCGTGGGTCCTCCTCTTTCTTCACCTCTTTCACTCTTTCACTCTTTTCTCCTTCCTTATCTCTCCCTCCCTCCCTCTCTCTCTCTCTTCCCTCACCACAAAAACAAAGACTAACCCTAGAAACTAAAGCTTCAGGGATCAAAAGGGTTTTCTCTTTTTCTTCTGCTACGATGACGAGGGGAAAGATTCAGATCAAGAGGATCGAGAACCAGACGAACAGGCAAGTCACATACTCGAAGCGAAGAAATGGTCTGTTCAAGAAGGCCCATGAACTCTCCATTCTCTGCGACGCTAGGGTTTCCGTCATCATGTTCTCTAGCTCCAACAAGCTTCACGAGTACACCAGCCCTAACACCTCGTACGTGTGTTTTGGTCTCCGAAACCCTAATTAACCCTAGATTCAGCACTTTTTCCTCTTTGACTTGATTTTCTTTGGGAGATTTTGGTTTGTAGAACGAAGGAGATCATCGATATGTACCAAAAGGCTTCGGGAGTCGACATCTGGGCCTCTCACTACGAAGTTCTTCTTCTCCATCTTTTCCTCAGCCAGATCTGCAAATTTCTTGTGGATATATGTCTTGAAATTTGAATCTCTGACGTGTTGTCTCGCAGAGGATGCAGGAGATCAAGAAGCAACTCCTCGAGACCAACAGGAATCTCAGGAAGCAGATAAAGTATGTTTCATTTTTAGGGTTTATTTTCTGGGTCTGATAAATTATTCGGATCCCCTTTTTTTGCCCATCAACCCTTTGAATCACTTCAATATCTTAAATTATCATGCAAGCTTCGGACACTAGATCACGAATAAGAGTAATCAACCACATATATATATATATATATATGTTGAACCTAGGATCCTGTCCGGATTAATGGCGGATTTCTTGTATCTGTAGGCAGAGGCTGGGTGAGTGCTTGGATGAGCTGGAGATTAACGATCTGCGTCGTCTTGAGGAAGAAATGGAGAACACCACGAACCTCGTTCGCACAAAGAAGGTCCACTATACTAAACTTTGTATTTGTTTCGCTATATATGTTGAATCTACCTGGGATCTTGTCCTAGGTTTTTTTTTTTAAATTTCATAACAAAATTAAAGACGTCTTCTTCCATTTTGTTTTTAGGGTTCTTTTTTATATTTTGATTTAGGGTTTGCGGTCTTTTGGTTAGGCTATTTTAAGCATTTGCTTACAGAAGATTGCTTATTGTCGTTATGTTTGTTAAATATGGAAACTTTTTTTGTTAAAGTTAAATATGGAACCTTCTATTTGATTTTGTATGTTAGCGTGGATTAAGTTTAAATCTTTATTGCCACTTAGTTTTTTTTCCTTTTTTGCCTTTTCCGCCGCCAATTTACAAAGAGAGTGTAAGGTTTGCATGTCTATTAGACAAACAAACACTGTAGTTAAGGGTGTTTTGGTAATTATCAAAGACATTTTCATAGGTAACGTGGTTTGAGGTTATTAACTTGGTCTGTGTTGGAAGTATGAGAGACAGTTGATTAGATAGACCGATTTGACAATATTCATGACTCATAGTATAACCAATTTAGGAATACAATCACATGTCCATATACACACAAACATATATAATAATGTTGAAACTAATCAATCAAGGAGGAAATCAATTGTTTTGATGGTTTGAAGTTTATTTTGTATCTTAGTATTTCTAATGTTACTGATATTTTTGTTCCTTTGCATTGATTATACAGTTTAAATCGATTGGCAATAAAATTGAAACCACCAAGAAAAAGGTAATATACGTATACATATACATACATACATATATATATATATATTCTATAGTTTTTTGGCAAAGGCGTGTGGGTATAAAATGTTATGCCTTTTTCTTGTTTGGATATTCGGGTTTGAACCCCATTTGACATTCCTTTTGTTCACGTTCCTCCAAAACAACATGTCGATAGAATGTATCTTAATTTAAATTATTTTTTCTCGAGTTTTAGTTCGGTTAGGATTTGGCCACTATAATAATTCTTTTAGTTAAATGGAATTATAATTTTTATTTATGTGTTATTTGGACTTTACAGATGTGGATCTAAAAGGAAACCTAATTAATCACGTTCGTCGTGGATTACTGGATTTGGTTTGGTTAACTCAATTCCATGGTTAAAACTTATTAAAAAAATCAATGAATAAATAAACTTATATATATATATATATATCACTTCATGTTTTCTAAATATGCCTATTTTGAAGTTTTGTAGACCTTTGTTCGGATTTCAATGTTTTGTCCTCGAGCTTATCAATGAACAAAAACAAGCTCCATGCATTGATTTGACCTTCTGTTTTTTTTCCCCTATAATTCATTTGGAGAAACCATTTTGTGTATATATATATATTGAGAGAGAGAGAGAGAGAGGAACCGGGTTTATGATTCCGACCAAGCTTTAATGTGATTTTGTGGTACTTGTATTTGTATACAATTTTTTTATGCCATTTCTCACTGCAGAACAAAAGTCAAGAAGACATACAAAAGACTCTCATACATGAACTGGTAAGTCCTGTGTTTGTTTCTGCTTTGTTGTTTACTTCTGGTTTGTTCAATCCGCACGTGCATGGAGCCTCCATGCACAGTACGTAGAGGAATACAGTCCTACAGAGCAAATATCCCATTCTGTGCTCTGGTAAGAGATTGATATTCGTACGTAGGTATGTATGTATATATATATGTATGATATTTGTCTCCAAACCAGAGCTCTATATAGCAGTACCCATGACTTCAAGTACAAAGATGTCACATTTGATCATATGATTCATACAATCAATATATACATATATATAAGAGTAAATGTTATGAATGATCTATATAGGAGCTTAGAGCAGAAGATCCTCACTATGGACTGGTCGACAACGGAGGAGATTATGAATCGGTTCTCGGGTACCATCAGATAGAAGGATCTCGGGCATACGCTCTCCATTTCCACCAGAACCACCACCACTACCACAACCAATCCTCCCTCCACGACGGAGCCTCCGCCTCCGATCTCATAACCTTCCACTTGCTCGAATGATCGACAACTTCTCTCTCTCTCTCTCTCTCTCTATATATATATATATGTAAGATCAATCGTCAAAATTATGTGTTTATGAGTTAAGCATTAAGAGTGTGGTTGGTGCCTGTAATAACAAAGATAGAATCTCTCGTGAGAGAGGGTGTGACCTCTTTTGTGTTTGTTGGAGTTGAAAAACCTAGCTTGCTGTTTCAAGAATCACATCATATTATGACTTAATGTATGTATGTATGTATGTATGTATGTATGTATGTATGTATGTATGTATGTATGTATGTATGTATGTATGTATGTATGTATGTATGTATGTATGTATGTATGTATGTGTATGTATGTATGTATGTATGTCTCTGTGTGTGTGTATGTATATATGTATGTATGTATGTATGTATGTATGTATGTATGTATGTATGTATGTATGTATGCTTAATTAATGACTAGTTTGTGTAGGTGTGAGTATTATGATTGATTTTGTAATGTAGATGGACCGTTTCTACATGTCCGGTTATAAAAAAAATAATATGAGAATACAGTCTTAAGTTAAATTGTGTATTTTGTGTTTATAGAATGAAAAAAACCCCTCAATTTTTTTATTTTAAGACTAATATTTTCTTTAAAAACTGACAACGAAATTGCGGTGACCATTTGTGAGAAAACTGAATTGTTATATATTTGTTATATAAACACCTTCTATCAATTACATGCTACTAATCTATTAAAAATAAAATTCGAAAAATATCTTCTAATTAAAATTATTTCTATTGTTCTGGAGTATATTTTATGAAAGAACTGATCTAGATGGGTGATGTTTCTACTGAATTTTGATTTAAATTATTTATTAAGTTTTATTACTGAGAAACAATCAATATCCCATTATAGAAACATATCACATATACATATACATATATATATATATATACGTAACTATATATATGTATGCTATCTTTTATATTTAGTTGTACTATGTATACTACATCGAATTAAATCTCCGTTTTACTCGACTTGGGAAAACGGCCACCGAACCACCGTGGTCACGTCGCCGTTAATAAACGCTGAGATCCGTACGATTTAACGGAGTTCCGTGAAATATTAACGGAAAGCAAACAAAGAATCACCCTATTGTCCCCATCAGAGACCAAAGCCTTTAAACGAAGCAGTGTCATGTGATTAACCACTCCATGGATGTCTGTTCCCACTTTACATAAAAGGAAACTCCATCGCCAAGTTTTCATGAACTTCTGAACTTACCATTCACGGATTCGGAAACCCCTTTCTATTTTTAGTAACTCTCGTGGGTCCTACTCTTTCTTCGCCTCTTTCACTCTTTCACTCTTTTCTCCTTCCTTATCTCTCCCTCCCTTCCTCTCTCTCTCTTCCCTCACCACAAGAACAAAGACTAACCCTAGAAACTAAAGCTTGAGAGATCAAAAGGGTTTTCTCTTTTTCTTCTGCTACGATGACGAGGGGAAAGATTCAGATCAAGAGGATCGAGAACCAGACGAACAGGCAAGTCACATACTCGAAGCGAAGAAATGGTCTGTTCAAGAAGGCCCATGAACTCTCCATTCTCTGCGACGCTAGGGTTTCCGTCATCATGTTCTCTAGCTCCAACAAGCTTCACGAGTACACCAGCCCTAACACCTCGTACGTGTGTTTTGGTCTCCGAAACCCTAATTAACCCTAGATTCAGCACTTTTTCCTCTTTGACTTGATTTTCTTTGGGAGATTTTGGTTTGTAGAACGAAGGAGATCATCGATATGTACCAAAAGGCTTCGGGAGTCGACATCTGGGCCTCTCACTACGAAGTTCTTCTTCTCCATATTTTCCTCAGCCAGATCTGCAAATTTCTTGTGTATATATGTCTTGAAATTTGATTCTTTGACGTGTTGTGTCGCAGAGGATGCAAGAGACCAAGAAGCAACACCTCGAGACCAACAGGAATCTCAGGAAGCAGATAAAGTATGTTTCATTTTTAGGGTTTATTTTCTGGGTCTGATAAATTATTCGGATCCCCTTTTTTTGCCCATCAACCCTTTGAATCACTTCAATATCTTAAATTATCATGCAAGCTTCGGACACTAGATCACGAATAAGAGTAATCAACCACATATATATATATATATATATGTTGAACCTAGGATCCTGTCCGGATTAATGGCGGATTTCTTGTATCTGTAGGCAGAGGCTGGGTGAGTGCTTGGATGAGCTGGAGATTAACGATCTGCGTCGTCTTGAGGAAGAAATGGAGAACACCACGAACCTCGTTCGCACAAAGAAGGTCCACTATACTAAACTTTGTATTTGTTTCGCTATATATGTTGAATCTACCTGGGATCTTGTCCTATAGGTGTTTTTAAAAAAAATTTCATAACAATATTAAAGAAGTCTTCTTCCATTTTGTTTTTAGGGTTCTTTTTTATATTTTGATTTAGGGTTTGCTGTCTTTTGGTTAGGCTATTTTAAGCATTTACTTAGTTTTTTTTCCTCTTTTCCTTTTCCGCAGCCAATTTACAAAGAGAGTGTAAGGTTTTCATGTCTATTAGACAAACAATCACTGTAGTTAAGAATGTTTTGGTAATTATCAAAGACATTTCCATAGGTAACATGGTTTGAGGTTATTAATATAATGTATTAACTTGGTCTGTGTTGAAAGTATGCGAGACAGTTGATTAGATGGACCGATTTGACAATATTCATGATTCATACTATAACCAATTTAGGAATACAACCACGTCTATGTATATACACACATATATAATATAATAATGTTAAAACTAATCAATCAACAAGAGAGGAAATCAATTGTTTTGATGGTTTGAAGTTTATTTTGTATTTTAGTATTTCAAATGTTACTGATATTTTTTGTTCCTTTGCATTGATTATGCAGTTTAAATCGATTGGCAGCCAAATTGAAAATACCAAGAAAAAGGTAATATATACATATATATATATATATTCTATAGTTTTTTGGCAAAGGCGGTGGGTATAAAATGTTATGCCTTTTTCTTGTTTGGATCTTCGGGTTTGAATCCCATTTGACCTTACTTTTTTTTTTTCACATTCCTCCAAAAAAAACATGTTGTGGATTATAATTTTAATCCCATTTAACAAGAAACCTAGTAGGTTCAGATGTGGATTTAAAAGGAAACCTAATTAATCACGGTTCGTCGTGGATTACTGGATTTGGTTTGGTTTACTCATTTCCATGGTTAAAACTTATTAAAAAAAAATCAATGAATAAATAAACTTATATATATATATATATATATCACTTCATGTTTTCTAAATATGCCTATTTTGAAGTTTAGTAGACCTTTGTTCGGATTTCAATGTTTTGTCCTCGAGCTTATCAATGAACCAAAACAAAGCTCCATTGATTTGACCTTCTATTTTATTTTCCCTATCATTCATTTGGAGAAACCATTCTGTATAATATATATACATATATATACACAGAGAGAGAGAGAGGAACTAGGTTTATGATTCCGACCAAGCTTTAATGTGATTTTGTGGTTACTTGTCTACATTTTTTATGACATTTCTCACTGCAGAACAAAAGTCAAGAAGACATACAAAAGAATCTCATACATGAACTGGTAAGTCCTGTGTTTCTTTCTGATTTGTTATTTACTTCTGGTTTGGTCAATACGCACGTGCATGGAGCCTCCATGCACAGTACGTAGAGGAATACAGTCCTACAGAGCAAATATGCCATTCTGTGCTCTGGTAAGAGATTGATGTTACGTACGTACGTTTGTATGTATGTATATATATGTATGAAATTTGTCTCCAAACCAGAGCTCTATATATATAGCAGTACCCATGACTTCAAGTGGTTACAAAGATGTCGTATTTGATCATATGATTCATACAATCAATATATACATATGTATAAGAGTAAATGTTATGAATGATCTATAGGAGCTTAGAGCAGAAGATCCTCACTATGGACTGGTCGACAACGGAGGAGATTATGAATCGGTTCTCGGGTACCATCAGATAGAAGGATCTCGGGCATACGCTCTCCATTTCCACCAGAACCACCACCACTACCACAACCACTCCTCCCTCCACGACGGAGCCTCCGCCTCCGCCTCCGATCTCATAACCTTCCACTTGCTCGAATGATCGACAACTTCTCTCTCTCTCTCTCTATATATATATATATATATGTAAGATCAATCGTCAAAATTATGTGTTTTATGAGTTAAGGATTAAGAGTGTGGTTGGTGCCTGTAATAACAAAGATAGAATCTGCCGTGAGAGAGGGTGTGACCTCTTTTGTGTTTGTTGGAGTTGAAAAACCTAGCTTGATGTTTCAAGAATCATATCATATTATGACTTAAAATAATACATGTATGTATGCATGCTTAATTAATGATTAGTTTGTGTATTAACCATTTTTTAGGTGTGAGTATTAATTATGATTGATTTTGTAATGAAGATGGACCGTTTTCTACATGTCCGGTTGTTTTTCTTACTCGGAACATTCCATGTCTGAATTTTGTGTTAGATAGACTGTTCATTAGATCGCACGAGAGTTCCAAGAACAAGGGAAACCAATGAAGTCTTTAAATTGTCCATTTCTTTTTTTTTTCTTTTGTTAACGGTAAATCATATAAATATAAATATTTTTACAATAGAGAAAATCCGTAAGATAAATTCCTAAATTGTCCATTTCAGACAGAAAATAAATAAAAAAAATCAAATTTGTGACCAACTAGTCGATAAAATCCTACAATTTAATTTATACTTCTCCAAAACCAAGTTATAAATTCGATAAAGTGATTAAATTATTGAGAAAATATTTCCGAAATGTTGATTCATTGAACCACACATTATATATCCAAGTTCGCAAGTATACAAAATATAAATATTTGTTAAATATTCTATCTTGACTACAAAAGCAAAATTTTATATAAAATAGTTATTTTTAATAGATTTTTTTATTAATTTTAAAATTTATAATTCTGTGTATGCTTTTCAGATATGATATATATACTATATGACTTTTGTAAATATTAATCAAATACTTGATAAAGATTACAAAGAGGTAGTAGAGAACTGAGTTGGTCAATTTATAAAATTTAATTTTGATAATTTTAGTGACTAAATTTTCGTTTTAAAATCCTAATGTATGTTGAATAAAAATTTCGTTTTTGTTCTTTTTTTTTTGTTTATTTTGTGATAAATCTCAGATAATTATGTCAAGGTGCTGTTGTCTGCCTTGTAGTTTCATCATGGTTCGCTCTTTAACCTTAGTTCCCACATTCTGACATATGTGATGGTTGTCATGTTAAGTTTTCATATTATTTTATTTATTTTATTATATTTTCTCTTCAGGCATACACGGCAACATTTGCATTTAATTCATTCCATAGTGGACAACCCAACTCAAAAGTAATTAAATATACTTCTTGGAATAGTATTAAAATATAAATTTAAAATTATAAATATAAAAATAAATAATATTTTTTTTTGAAAAGAAACATATAGTTTCATTAAGAATCGAATTTAAACCAATTAAAAAAAATAAAATTTCGAATCTAGAATTTAAAATATTTTAATAAAAATCGAATCAAAATTCTAGAATGAGGAGTAAGAAAATCATAATTTCCACAAAATCAAAATTATAAAATTTGTAAAAAAAAGATTCTTTTAAATAGAATAATTAGGGCCGATAATCCCATTATTAAAGAGGTGTAATAGTTCTATTCAGAAAATGTTCCGTGTGTGATTGCATTTTACTAAGAATTATAGAGAGCGACGAAGAGTTAAAATTATCTATTATGGGATTATCTTTATAATTTTCCATAATTTCTAATACATTCCATATTTTGTATATAATTACTAAAGTTTTAAAATCGATGCTCTACTAATATATATTTTGGTACGAAAATTAAAAAATACATTGATATTTTATTATACTGTTTAACGAAAATAGGGAATATTATTTCGTTTTTTTTAAATGAATTTTTATATTGATCGAATTGCAGAAATTTTGAATAAAAAAAATGTATCGGTCTCACGCTCGATCCCTCAAACCTCCTTCACCGTTTAAACTTTTCTAGAGAGAGACTGAAACGAGAGAGAGAGAGAGAGAGCGCTCGGTCGGCCGCCGGACATGGGGGCTCTGGCTCCGGTGACTCCATGGTTACCCGAAGATGACCTTCTCTTGAAGAGCGCCGTCGAGGTGAGATTCCATTTCTTCGAAATTCGTTTCACCTTTTCTTCTGTTTCCATATCTGTCCAATGTCTTCGATGCGGAGTTTGAGCTGTTGTTTCGATTCGGCCGTTTCGCCTCCATGAACGGTTGTTTCCGTAGCTGATTGCTGGGTTACTCATCTGTATTGTAATGGATGGTTTTTGTGGTATTTGGTTCCTGAATGTGCCATATCCTGATATTAATTGAGTTTTGGGATGATAAATTGGTTGCTAATTTCGAGGATACAGTATAATTTGTGTGACAAATTATTATTGAATCCAATTAAGTGGTTTCTATACAGGAATTCTGGCCTTATATGGTAAATTTAAGTGATATGGAAAGTGTTTGTGGAAAACGATGTGCTATTTTGAAATTGCACTGGATGATTCTTGTGTTCTTAAAACTAAGCATATGTGATCTGTCTATGGTAATAATGGTATAAGCGCCTTTGACAGCCAAAAGATTGTTCCTTTTTGAAACTGTCTTGTCTTGGTTCAGACCGTTCCCTGTTCTGAGGTTGATATCAACCTTGCCACCGATGTGATTTTGTTGGAACAAATATTCATCCAGTCTTCTTGACAGGAAGGGTTATTGAGTTTGGTGTGAGTCTTTGATTCAAACATGCCTTGCCCAGAAGCAGGCTTGGATCCGGTTTCGACTTTTGTAGGCGCCAGTTTGGTGTTTCTGTTTCAGCTTTGTAAATTATGTTTTCGTTGATTTTCGTTTGTTGTTCTTACATGTCTTAGCAATTTACATCTTGCTTGATTGTGATGTTTAGCAACGTATTGTCTTCATATTTGCGACGTTGGTTACAATAAGCATTTGGAAATCCTTGCATTTCTAATCAAGTAGCTTCTTGGAAACATACTTTAGCCTTCCTTTTCACTTCCAGTTTTCCATTCAAAGCTGCTTGATGAGGAGATTGATGTGTAAACATGTGGAAGAACTTTCCAAGTCTTTGTTTTCTTTATTTGTGATATTGAGAATTAAGTAACATGTTAACATGATGTTATGTGGTATTTGACGACCAAATTTGGCTGCCTTCATTCTGGGTGAATCACTTATACATGAAGCTGCTCCTGTCTATATATTCTGCTATTTAAGTCTGATACCCTTTCCTAACTGATCTACTGCTTCTCTCTCTCTCTCTCTCTCTCTCTCTCTCTCTCTCTCTCTCTCTGTCACGCACACACAGTATTTTGGATCGAAATGTTTCCTATTTTTTCATAAAAGTGGAAAGATTTGTGTTTCCTCTCGGTGACTTTTAAGTTTATTATCACTGTGTTGGATGTTGTGATTTATCATTTAGCCTGTTTGGCTTCCAGCAGTTAAGTATTCACCTGTCTCTGTAATTAATTTTCAGGCTGGTGCATCTTTGGAATCACTTGCTAAAGGTGCAGTGCAGTTTTCCAGAAGATTCTCTATCAGAGAACTGCAAGATCGATGGCATGCACTCCTTTATGATCCAGTTGTTTCTGCAGAGGCCGCGTTTCACATGACTGAGCTTGAACGCTCTAACTCTAATATTCCTACAAAGTTTGGCAGAACTGGATATTCAAAAGAAAATAAGAGTTCAGTTGGGAAGAGGAATGCTGAAAATGTTCGCAGTTCCTACTATTCCTCGCGAAAGAAATTTCGGTTTGAACTATTTAATTCGATGGATCTAGGCATCCTTGTTCCGCCAAATGACAACCATTTCATTGGCAATGGAGAAGCAACTCATTTGGGGCTTGAAGATTCTCACATGGATATTATCCATAACGCCTTTCCTGAAATTTTGGCTGATGGTTGCTGCATGGGAGGATTTAATAACCCAATTGAGGATGGTCATCCTGTGCAGGAAGATAATTTACAAGGCAAAATCCATCATGTAGTGACAGGGGATCTTGCATTCACGCAGAATGCATGTTCTTCTAGATGTAATGCCGTTCATGAAGACTCCGAGATGAACTTAGAGATGGCTGCTCAAGAACCCAAAATTGCAACACCTAGTACTGATTGCTTCCTGGCAGAGCTTTCAAACTCTCTTTTCAATGGGGTGGATTCTTTCATGAATGTAGAAGGTAAAGACAATGACAAATCGTATTATGATGGTCTTAGCTCACTTTTGGTAAACTCCACAGATAACACGAGCCAAGGGGCCTTGCCTAACTCTACTGAGCAAAAATCATCTGCTACACAAAATAATTCAGGAAATGGCAGTCTGGGTGATCATGAGACATCTGAACTGGATGGGACAAATGCAACGAGCTCATCAGAGGTCAAACCAGTGTCTGGCTCACCTGCCATAGATCCTCATCCTGAGATAGTTGATGGTGTTATCTGTTGTGTGTTAAACACAGACCACCCTGAAATTCCTTGCAATGAGGACATATTTCTGCCCAGTAGCTGTCATCCGATGTCAGTTTCTTCCTTAGCCCGACGGAACTTTAAAGATTCTGGTAATCAAATATCTACATCTGTTAGAGATATCTCGGCCTGTAAGGAGAGAAGCACGGGCTATTCAGTGCACATGCCGAAGAACCCTGGACGAGTACAGGTGTCTTCTCAAGGAAAGCTAGAGACGGGTCAGCCAAGTCAAGGTACTGATTACAGAGCATTCCCAAGTATTAAGTCACATATTACCACTCCCAAGGCTATCAATTCTGGTGATTTTGCTGCACAGACATGTTCTAATACTCATCTGCAGGGTCGATAGATGGAAACAACGCAGTTGCAACTATACAGTATATTCCTAGAAATTCCTCTATGGGTTCTGATGGCCATGAAAATTTTCCCAAGAAGGATATTGGAAACAGCAAATTGGAACAAGGTGCCCTAGCAGTTGACAGTCAGACACATGCAGCAAATGCTGGTGATGGCTCGATAGAGATGGTAGTTTCGGAAGAGGAGGTCAATCCAACCGTAGATGAACATCTGAGCGATAGTGATGAAGAGTTGCCTAATTATTCTGACATTGAGGCTATGGTAACACATAATTTCTATTCTCATCATGAATGGTTCATATTTCCAAGTATAAAATGTTGTTGCTGGTATTCATTATTTTACCTTTCAGTTTGTATTTATATATTATGCCTTAACCCAAAAAGATGCACTGCCAATTCAGATACTTGATATGGATTTGGATCCTGATGATCAAGATATTTATGAGCTAAAAGGTAATTCAGCATCTCTCACATTTGGATTGTTTTTGTCTTTTATGTGTTCTACTCAATTATGTGGCACAATTATGCATATTCGCAAGTGAGCATGAGGGGGGACCTGCGAAATACTTTTCAGGCCGCAATTTCTGTGACATTGTTTCGTGGAAATATAGGTTTTCCTTGAATGGTGTTCACAAACATTGTTTGATGTTCGAAAACTGATCTGTTTAGTTCATAAAGTAAATGACTGACTGCATTTTCAATTGCAGTCTCCAAGTATCAGAATGAGGACACCAGAAGAGCAATTATAAGACTTGAACAGGCTGCTTACTCATACATGCAAAGAGCCATCGCTTCACATGGCGCTTTTGCTATTTTGTATGGTAGACGTTCAAAACATTACATCAAGAAACCTGAGGTATTTCAATTTATAGCGATTTGGAACATCTTTCATTCCTGCTATTATCGTTTATGATCACACCTGTGAGGAACGAACGAAAATTACGTTTTGAGCATTGTTCTTCTGTGATCTTGTACTACATAGATTCTGCTTGGTAGATCAACAGAAGACCTCATCGTGGACATTGATTTGGGAAGAGAAAAGGGTGGTAGCAAAATATCTCGTAGGCAGGTCAGATTAGAGGCTGCTTTTATTTATTCGTTTTGTAGGTTAAGTTTTATGAGAACTATCCCTAAATCCTTAGCAAACCTCGTGGTTTCGCAGGCCATCGTACGTTTGGAAGATGATGGTTCTTTCCGTATGAAAAATCTTGGGAAGTATCCTATTTCGGTAAATGAGAAGGAAGTAGATCCTGGACAGAGTTTAGTCCTAAAACCCGATTGTCTGATTGAGGTTTGCCCCCGGATAATACCTTTGACAACACACTCATGTATGGCAAAAGTCGGTATTTATCCTCGATGCGGTTAAACTGTTGTTGCAGATACGGGGAATGATATTCATCTTCGAGACAAACGAAACACGCGTCAAGGAATACCTGAATAGCATCGAGAAGGTTGATCGAGATGGGTAAATCCCAGATCGATTTTACGAGCTTCTTCTTGTACTGATCAAGAAGGTGTCTGTTTTTATAGGTAGCCTTGGTAATTATTATTATTACCCATGCCATTTTCTCGTACTAATGTTTTTGTTTGTAGCTTGTTTTTTTTTTACCTAAGTACCTTGCCGCAGGGCAGGAACCATCGTTCAGACCGAACTAGGGTGTCTTCTTACATCTATGGTTGACGACGTGTATAGCAGATCCGATTTTCTTTTCCTTTCTAGGCTTCACCTCTGGGATATGAATTAATAATAAGAATACGAAGAAAAATTTGTCTGGATTCTGGGTTTTGGTTGAATTCCGGGTATTATGATTTGGGCCTTGTGCCAGGCCCAAAAATGACCACATCTAATCACTTCCCTCAAACACTACGCCACGGCCGAAGAAGATCTTTTGTTTAAAAACATTTATTTTAAACTTTTAACATCTATAAATCCAAATAGACTTTAAAAAAATTCTTAAATATTTTTCCATTAAAACTTCGATCGACAACAAATTCAAAGAAAATTTCTAGTTTTATAAAACCTCAAAAGTGTACATTTATAAAGATATATATATATATATATGTATGTATACATATGTGTGTGTATACATATGTGTGTGTATTTTGTAGTTTTCATTCTTTTAGACTTATAGATAAATTTGAATGGTAGATCCAAACTTACGTAGTTCAACAGTTAAAATGTGGGTATTTAGCCTTTATTTCATCCGAATTCGAATCTCAACTTTCAAGTAAAAGGTGGTAGTTACTTTTAAAATCAAATGATGTCTATTTTTATAAATTTTTAACTTGGTTTACCTATAAAAAAAGGATTTTCTATCCCTTGCAAGACATTATTCTTCATATTAATAGCCTAAATAAATATAAAATTTTTAAATTATCTTATATAACAAGAATTTTGAATTTTTTTGTCAAAATATATAAACTTTCTAAATATTATTATAAACGTATTGCGAGGTTTTATAGCAATATTTACAATTTTTTTTAATTTTTGTAAAAATTTAAATTCATATATTTACATGGCGATTTTTAAAAGTTCATATTTTTTAATCTGAAAAGTTCATGTTTTTTAAACTATTGTTCCTGATCTAATGAAATTGAAAGTGGCTCTTTTTCATTCCTCGAAAATTTCTTATCGAATTTCTAATGATAGAATTCAAATATCGACTTATCAAATGGTTCAATCTTGCAAAAATCTCATTTGTGGTGTTCTTATTATGCCAATATTAGATTGTGGTGAACATGATTCTAATAATAATATTGCACAAGTTAGTAGAAAATGGAATCAGTCCACAAATATTTAATTAAATTTATTTGACTAAAATAGTGGTGACCCCTCATTTTCTTTAATCAATATAAAGTTTCTAACCGAAATTGCTCGTAATTATAATGATGCTAACAGCAAAGTTAACCCTCCTCAGTCACATGAATTCATCATTACCCACTTCTTCTTTTTCTCTTTTAATATGAAATATATATTATGAATTGTCAATTAATAAACAATGCACAACCATATAATCACGTGGACGTAACAGCAGCAATCTAGGAACATATTTGTCTATTTAGTTGATTAACCATATGTGTTTTCTGGTAAATGTTGATTAACCATAATACAGTAACTATGAATCACTGTTACAAAAGTACTAATCGATATTTGGTTTTCGATTGAGGCGTGATCGATATTTTTAGTTTCCATTCGGTTTTATATCAGATTCAATTAAATACGATTTATTTTCACTTTGGAGTTTTCTTTATAAAAATATATATTTTTTAAATTATGTTTTACATTCGATTAGAGTTCGAATTGTTTCGGTTCTTCCAAATATATTCAATTCAAACATATTTATGCTTTATTCGAACTGAATTTGAAACTTGAAATGATCAAAGCCAAACGATAAAAGTGAATCTAAAATTAGGGTGGAAAACGGATCGGATATCCGAAATTTTTTTAGATATTCATATTCGTATCCGATCCATACAAATATTTAATTTTGTTATCCGTATCCAATCCGTAATTCCGCACATCCGTAAAAAAAATTGCAGATATCTGCGAATATCCATATCCGACCTAAAATATAATAAAATTAAAAAAAAATAGAATTACAAAACAAATTCAAACAGATATAAAAATATATATAATCTATCAAATAAAACCGATATTCAAATTTCGAAGTTCATAATATAAACATCCTAAATCAATACAAATACAAATACAAATACAATCATAATACCACTTTCAAACATATTCAAAATTTAAAAGATTATATATCATAAAGATTCATATTCAAAAGATTAAAAATTTTAAATTTCCAAATATAGAAAACAAAACATGTATTGAATCTTTGTGAAAAAATTTGTAAAGATTAATCCTGCATACCAAATTATTATTTTTTATTTAATAATATTATTAAGAAACACAGATAATTCGAATTTGATATATGTATTCGATACAAATATTTTGAAACAAATATTCATATCCGATTTGTGAACTCGAACATCTGAATTTTCGATGATGTTAAGGATATGTGGTTAAATGCCCTGTATGATATCTAAAATGTATAATCATCAAACACCAGATGACCAGAAAAAATGTGGAAAAGAAATATTAGTGTACAGAAAAGATGGACAGATTTCTCACAGACAAAACACTGAATCAGTTAAACAATACACACAAATCTAGAAAAGGGCTACACAACTACAGAGAACAAAGATTTTGCAGATAGACACAATCGATTCAGACAAAAGAAAAGAAAAGTGGTGCAATGAGTTCTCAAGTGGCAATCGGTTTCTTATGAGATTGCGTTGAGAAGCAGACACACTTGGCTTTCATGGCTTCACCCTCGCTCCCATATTCTCGGAACTTATATTCATCTTGCCTGAAAGCAGGAGGCACTTTCCCTTCACTGTAACATTGGTTACAGAGACTAAACCGGCTCTTCATTTCCTTAAACCGGGACCCGATGATCGGATACCGACACACTGAGCATACGTGGTTTACATGGCGGTTTCTGTCGCCGGTTTCGAGTCTGAGAACAGTAGACATGACCCCAAAACCCCAGTCCGGATCATCGAACATGATGAGGAACTGGTTGAATGTCACCGTCGATGTATCGGTCTCTCCATGAACTTCTAACATTTCGCTGATCCCGTGTGACGGGATGTAAATAGCTCTCAACAGTTTGATGTACCTTACAGCATCAGTTTTCGTGATCTGAGAACTTCCTTCGTTCACAGGTCGCCATAGAAGAGCATCGAAAGCAGCCCTTTTCCGCTTGTCTGGATGTCCACCGCATAGAGGGGCGATTATGGCATAAAACATACCGAGATCCACTCTTCCTGAGCCAGTATCATCAAGAACCGAGAGGATTTTCTCGTTTATGGCTTTGATTGCTCCCTGGAAAGTTTCGGGCTTCAGAACATTAAGCAGACGTCGGAGGATTTCTTCTAAGCTGGGTTTCCGTATAGATTTTTGCGGGCCTCCATTGCCAGAGTACGAAACAGGAACATCGTTGTCTCTCATTTCCCTCCGCAGTGCCTCCACATCGCATTTCGTCAGCCTTGTGACTCTTTGGAAAGCTCTAATTTGAAGGGCAATGGCTAAATCCGGCCTTAAAGTCGTCTTATCGCCCACAATCTTGAACTTGGAGGGTTCCACAATGATGAATGGGCTATCTCCATTGCCACCATTTCCATTGTTCTTCACCTTTTTCTTCTGCAACTGTTTCAGATGTGATACAGCATCGTGTAGCTCGACCCGGTTCGTCATTTTTAGTGCCTCCTTCAGTGCCCGCCTAGCTTCTTCGGTTTCTCCAGCACCCAGTAAAGACACCGCCTTGTTGAGCTGAGCCCGCCAATGGTTAGGCCACACGGCCAAAACCCTCGTGTACATCTCGGAAGCCCTCTGAAACCTACCCAAGTCCATGTAAAGGCCACCGAGATTATACAGAGCATCGACATGGCCAGGTTTCAAGTCGATAGCTCTCTGGAAAACCTCAATAGCTCTCTCGTCTTCGCCCATGGCATGCAATGCCGATGCCAAATCACAATGTGCATCAGCGTAATCCGGTTTCAAGAATATAGCCTCCTCTAACGCCTTCACGGCTGCTCTATACTCTCCTACCCCAAAAAGTGCGCTGCCCAGAAGTTTCAGAGCTCTATAATGGGTGGGACATAGAATTGCGGCTTCTCTATAATACTCACAAGAACTCAAAACCATACCTTCGCCTTCAAGGGCGATACCGATATTGACATAAATCTGAGGAAGTAAGTAAGCCCACTGATTGCCGCCAGACTCAGCAGCTTCCAATGCCAACAAGAACTCTTCTTTGGCCTCCTTGCACTTCCCCAGAAGGAAGAGACAATTTCCTGTCCTGAAATGAGGCCGTACGTCTGTCGGCTGCAACTCACAGGCTCTCTTGAAGCTAACAAGAGCTTCTTTGAACAACTGGTGCTCATACAAAACCCTACCAATGGCCATATGCCCATCAAAAGCTTCCTCTCTCGATCTCGCTCCGTCTGCTCTGCTCCTCAGAACACCCAGTTCCTTAACGAACACTGCATGATCGTGACCTGATTCTTCCCAGGATACTCTTTTCTCCGTTACCTCCGAAGACGGACCCAATTCTCTCGACCATCCCGCGTCGGAAAACGCATCCAGATTGTCGGCCTTCAGCTTCCCATCTTTCTCATGCTTTGATTTCAATCTCTTCACCAGAATCTCCAAATCGTCGACGAGCTTCCACGTCTCGTCGAACACGATTCCGTGGTTCGGCGATACCGCCCACGCCGCAGTCCTCTGCTTCTTCTGCGCATCAACAGCTCTCTCGTCGACAATGGAAGACGACGAAGCCTCCGAGCCCTTTGTATCGTCGACATTCAGCTCGAGCCCTAAAGCATCAAAGTCCCTGTCGACATCTCCGGCGCCGTCGTCGTATGTCCGGAGGAGACCGTCGTATGTCAAACCCTTGTCTCCGTCGATGAAATCGCCGTAGGTTCGGAACACCTCGTCGAGAATCGCGCTGATCTGTTCGTCGCTGAACCTGACCCTAGGGTTCACAGCGACGACGAGAGCCGCCATCTCTTCCCGATTCAACCCACCATCGCGGTTCCCGTCGAATTGCTGAAATATCCTCTTCACCTTCTCCGATCGACTCCCTCTGGTCGCCATTTTCGCCGGAGAAAGAAGCCCTTTTTACAAAAATTACGACTCAAAACAGGGAATCCAAGGCAACGGAGAGATACACAGAAGTTGACCCGAGAAGAGAAACAAACGCAACAATGAAGAAAAGGAAAAATTCTTGCGGAATTGGGAGAAACCCTAATGGGCTCTGCGCCGAGGATCGAAGTCTGATCGGAGCAAGATTGGTTCTTTCGGATCCGCAAAGCCAAGCCTCACTTCTTTTTCTTTGGTTTTTGCTTCAAGGAAAAATAAAATGAAATTAATTATTTCTGGTGTTTGTTTTGGGAAGAAAATACAAAAGAAATTAAAACGGTCCAAGCTGTGAATTTGTTGTCTTTTGGATAATGCGCCTAATGTGTCCATTTCCCCAATCAATAAAAGGGAGCAAGGGTCACTTGGATTTTCCAAATATATTTTCCTATTTTTATTATATTTGAAATAGATTTCATGAAATTAAAGCTTTATATTATTTTTTTCTAGTATTAATGCTCTGGTGGGTTTCTGGATTCATCAAGTCAAAACCCTCCGGCAACATACATTGTGGAATTTAGAGAAGAAGTGTACCGATTTGGATTCGTGGGCAGACATTTTCTGCATTTAGTTCTTCCTTTATTAAATAAATAATGGGCATTTATTGTTCGGACATTCTGTCGTATGTTTTATTTTTTTCCCAATGGCAAAAAAAAAAAAGTTATTTTATTTGCTTTGGAAGAAAAAAAAACTATCCACAAAGGAATTACTAGAGCACTTAATTAATCAAATACAATAATAGTTGTTTGTAGCTAAGGATTTCGACTGATTTAGTCCGTTTCGGCTGATTTATATAGTCTGTATGGTTTATCGGTTATTTTGCACAGTCCAAGATTTTACTGTTCGAGATGTCGTTCAACCCATATCGACCGATGTACGAAACTGTAGGATGGTTTTCCCAATATTACCAGAAAAAAATATGAAGAGATTTTGTTTAATCCAAAATTCAAACAAAGTAAAAAAAAAAAAAAGGCTGCGAATCACCAAGAAACCACGGTTTATTGGAGACAGAAACCTTGGATTGGATGAAATTATGAACAAAGACTAGATAAGGTCATACGTATTCAACGAATACAAATAAAAAATATCGTTAATATCAAATGGTTTCACTCAACTCGATCTATTGATAATTATTTTTTTTAATTTGGATCATTTTATTTATAAGAGTTATTTAATCTATTAAGATTATGGGTGAAATGAATAAACTTATTACACATCTCATTAAATGGATTAATCCGATTCTCAGCCCTTGTATACATTGTGGCCCGTCTTATAAAGGATGCAAGTGGGGCCTCCGACCCCCCTTTTTTTTCAAGATTTGTAATCTTTTCGTTTTTTTAAAAAGTTTAATTATAAAAATTTGAAACTATCAACCTTTTGTAACGTTATCACAAAAACTAATAATAATTATAACATTGACTTAACATTTTGAGGGATATTAAAATATGAATAAAAAAACGAATATTAAATCAAATAAATTAATATTATTCTCAGGTTATCTTCTGACAAATAATTTTAAAGACAGAACAGATTATTATAACTAGGAAGCTAATCCCCAAAGAGCATAAGAGTCAGTAGCATCTTCTGCAACAGGCCAAAGGATCCATGAAACATATATATGTTCCAATCTTTACCGGTCCGGGGAAAAAAAACAAGAAACAATCTTGCGGGATCTAAGGACGGTTACTTCTCTGATCCGACATGGCGGAATCCGCGTTTCCCCGTTCGATCTGCAGATTCTGCTGCTGGAGTTGATCATAGATGTTGTTCCGAGCCTGAGTCGGGAAAATTCCAGAGTTTATCGAGAGCTGTTGAGCCATGCGGTTCGAGAGATGGTTCTCCCCACTGATCTCCGCAGTCGCTATCTTCAGCCTATGAATTTCCGCCGCCAATGCCTCGTTCAACGCTGCAACGATCCATTTACCCGTAACGAGGTCAAGAATGGAAACATATCTACGTTCTTGATTAAACTATTTACTGCGTTAGCCGACGTAAATCCGGGAATTTCTGCTAAATAAGGAGGTTAACTATATAAACTCGTCTAAACCGGTTTTCCTCGATGTACTATCAACGATGTAACCATGCATGCGGTATCATATGTTTTATAGCTCCAAACCCGAGGGGATGGAAGGTCATGTGATGTAAATATCGGTTGATACGAAAGATTGTAAAAAACTCGTAGTGTTTACGGGTTCAAACCAGATATGGACATCGAGATTCTTGAAAGATTCTGCACAAAGGGGTCATTTAGCAAGAATGGAAGCAACATCATTTTGCAACATATCATTTGTAAATGTTGCATACACGGATTTGATAATCGGAAAGATTAATTAAAAAAAAAACGCGCGAGAGGAAGCAAATACCGTCTTTGAGCTGTGCTTTTTGTTCCATGGCCTGAAGACGGAACTTGAGCTCGTTGTTCTGATTTGTAAGTCCAGCTGAATCTCTCTGAAACCCGGGCAAGGAAAAACCGTCTTCATATGATTATTTCAAACATGAAAGCAAGAATCCGAAGGAAAAAAAATGAATATCATTAGCGTTTTTGACCTGCAGTATTGTAAGTTGAGCAGACAAGGTGGTTGCTTCTGTCTGTAGAGTTTGAACTTTATGTTCCAATTCAACGATGTAACGCAGCTTGCGCTCCTTTGAACGAGCAGCAGATTGACGATTAGCCAGAATCCTGAGACCAAACAATGACCATTTTCAATAATAACTTTACATGTTCTTCAGTTATACAGAAAAGAATTAATAGCAATTAACCTTTTGGCTCGTTTCGGGTCTGATGATGCAATTTCAGTTAGCTTCTCATCATCCATGATCCTCTTGAGTTCCGCTTCACTGAATTCTCCCCTTGGAAACTCAAAATTCAAATTCTTCAACCTCCAATCACCGGATTCACTCGGTAACTGCTGATTTCCCAACTGGGGAGAAGCCTTTAGTGTTTCCTCGTCAAAGATAAAACCTCCCATGTAACTATCCATCGAAACACTTCTCTGGTGCCGTCCACTCGGGACAATATCTCCACTGGCCGTCCTCTTGATCCCTTCCCTCCTTTGTGATGCAGCACTTGAACTCGATGGCCCGAAAGCGTTCCCATTTACGCAACTTTCGACTTCGTTATCACTGCCATCGCCTCCGTTTGTCTTAGAACCACTGGCTCTGCTGCCTAAATCCTTCTCTTCGGTGGCTCCTGAGCTTAGAGGGGCAATAATATCAAGGTTCATGTAAGCACTGACCAAGTCGTCGGCTAACTCTCCCTCCAATTTCCTCTCGCCCGTCCCCTCAGCGACGCTC